TATGGCTGGAGATCCAAGAGGGTCAAGCCAAGTAGAGAGCAATGCCGTTGCTGGCATAACGTGGCCTACTGACAGTGTTTACACCAGAACTTCTCAGAGAGAATTTCTGTCACATTACATGCAGTGTGCATGGCTCCAGTAGGCAGAAGCGTTTTAATCAAAGCAAGGGAGTCACCAGTCATCCCACGTTGTAATCTCAAGACGAGTTGGTTTTATTTCTTGAAGTCTGTCAGAATTTGATGGCCGACAGTCATTTACACACACACAGTCTTACTGTGTGTTCTTCTGAATCATTATTTAAGGTACGACATCCATGCAAAAATCTTAGCAGAAAGATTTCTTGAGAACATTATCAGTTGCAGTCACTTATCAGCCTCGATCAAGCGCCGAAACCAAATCAGATTTTTTAATGCAGGAAACAGCCGTCCTGAAAGTTCTTCACCTCGATGTTAAATAAACAGTGATCACAAATTACAGAAAAAAACCAGACCGAGATGAACAGCACTGTCAGGGTGCCATTTGCCATCCACCATTTTAGCCATCTGGGGAATGTTTGTAACCGTTGGCATAATCAAGGAATTATAGGTAGCACTTCATGGAAAAAAATGGCGGCAAGATGTATATTTAGTTACAGCTTTGGCTGGCATGTAAGCAGGGAACTGTGGCTGGTCTTGCATTTATAGAGGTGATGAACTTTTGGGACGGAATTTAATATTGCCTTAGACTGAAGACTGTCGTTACTCCATGCCATTGTTTTTCTTTGTCATTGACCCCAGTCGTTATCGTAAATACTTGAACTACAAAGGGAAATGTAAGGAAATTAGAGTACTTAAGATCTGGGTAAGTCTCACAGGGTTAGTACTTCTTTTATTCTACTGGTAGTTTCTACCATGTTTAAGAATGACAAGGAACAGTTCTTGAAGGAATATTTTGAAAACAGGTGTTCAAATTCTTTGGTCTTCAAAGCAGCTAAACAGTTTGTAATTTGTTCTGCATCATATGCGGGTAGTTTTAGTACGAGATGCATCTCGCAGAAATTCCACCTACATGTAGTTGGAAATGATTAGTTTTAGCCAGTGGCCAGGTTTTCCGTAGAAAGGATCATGGAACCCTACCTTTACTCTGGCAGATCTTTGGCAAGAACCATTCTTCACATATTCATTTTGATACATGCTAGGTGCATCTTTTGCCAGATCATGTGTGCATAGAAGTAGAAAGACGGGGGCCATGGTCTCTACTGGACAGGAATAGAATGAAGCTCATCTCTGGTTGTTAGTAGTATTAGTTTAAGGGCGTGCATCTAATTAGAACTACTGATAACCGAACACAAAATGTTACATGTATATGTACTTCTTGATGTGTTTTTGATGAATTTTGAGCCCGGTTTAAGCACATGTATGAAAACTTTGAAATAGTTTGTGGACAGGGAACCCAAGGAAAGTAATAATGTAGAGTTTGAATAGGAAATGCGATTTTTAGTTGTTGCACAAAAATGTCAGGCTTAAAAGTTCCAAATATCTATGGAAATTGGGCGACGATATACACAGATGGAGGGAAAGTACCGGTAACTCAATGTGAAAAGGTTGTTAGCTTCAGGTCAAAGGGATTTACGACATTGAGAACTACATCTATCCTAGATGTCCAAAATAAATATGAAAACCAGCTCAGGGATTCAAACAGGGTATTTCTTGAATTATTTTTAATTACCTTGTAATATAGTTGTAATTTAATAGGTTCTTTGAATAAGGGAAAACAATGTTGCCTTGGCAGGTCCTGGGAAAATCTGCAATTGTTATTACATCTGAGAATAACCATTTAAAGAAAGATGTTGCCATGTGTAACATGGGGAGCAGCATGTGCTCCATGCTGAGACAGTAGAGACTTGTGTGTGTCCAAACTATCAGCAAATGTAGGCTGGTTCCTTGTACAGAACATGCAAGGTTTTCAAGAGAGGAAGGGCAGGAACCAGTGTGACAATATGAACGCTTACAGCACCAGTTTGTACCTGCTACTGTCACTTAAATGCTTAAAAACTCGCAAAGCAGGGAATGCTCACTATTGTTTGTGATGTTTGGCAACCAAAATCGTCATCAAAATTACAAATTTGTAAACCAAAACTATCGGATACTATCTGCAAAATAAAAGTGGGCACGTTTTGGACTTGATCAGTTTTATTACACAACTAGTAAGTGTGGCCGTGTGACTGATGCATCATGAGCACATGCCGTAGCGGTCATTTTACACAGTTTATGGAGTGGCACTGAGGGGCCATTTTCTGTTTTGGTTTGAATTTGCGTAGAAAAAAAAAACTGTGCACATTTTGTGTGAGAACGACACACAGGCATGGTAGTTTTGCCAAAACATACCAAAGAGTCTGTCAGTATGTTTCTACTGGTTTGAGTTTTACTGGTGAGGGAGCCGGTCCATAACTCAAGTGAGCAATTGGTGGCTGTATGACTATGGCAATATACTGCTGTTTGTTTGTCTCAAAAAAGTGTAACGGCAGTCGTAGAATATGCAACTTGGACAAGGACCGTGGCAGTGCAGACTTGATTGGCAAATATTGGCCAAAAGAAGACATTTGAAGACATTAAGGCCATTTTAAATGAGTTTGTTGGTCATTGTAACTTGGCACTCCTTTACATTGAAAGTCTCGTACTCCTTTACATTGAAAGTCTCGTACGAGTCTCTGATGGTACCTAGCATACTTTTTGTATTAATTTTTTGTAATTTCGTGTTAATTTTCCCAGGGCCTGCCTAGGTCAGCATGTGAGCATGTACTTTGCCTGCCTTATGCAGACAAGACTACTCCAATTATGCCATGAGAATCTTTGGGTTTAGCGAGTGTTAAGGAGGATGTGCAACCATAAATTGTACAGTGCATGAATTAATGAAAACTTCAATTAAATTTAGCATGGAGTACGGGACAGGCTAACCCCGTGTCATTGGATGCTGCAGTTTCTATGGATACCGACTGGCAGATTGCCTACCACATCGTCCACCGAGTCGCTGAGGAACTTGGGTTTATCATAGAGTACAACAGAAAGAAGTAGAGAAAAAATTGGGGAAGCTGTGTCTCATACAGAAATTTGGCTACTGCCAAAATCAATCAAAACTGATTCGACAAATTGTAAGAGTTTCTGAAATTCAGTTCGCTTGATAGTATGAACCAGCTGTTGTGAGCTGGACAAAAGTCAAGCAAAATTTTATTAAAAAAGACCAAAGTTTACAAAAACTAGTAGTATGTTGCAAACTGAGGCAATTTTGAAAAGTTAATGGCACGAGTGTTAGTTTCAAAATTTGAAAAGTAAGGAGACTTCCTGTTCAATGTATTCAGAATCAGGTATTCACTGAATTTAAGTGATGGATCAAGTCACAAATATCTGAAACTAAAGAACCTTTCGCTCTTGCAATTTAAAAAGAAATGTTTGACACAATGAAAACTGTCTGAAAAGAAGAAAAAACGCCAGTTGATTTGATCAACAAACTTCCAGAAAATCAGTATTATCAAACATTTTACAAAAAATGTATGCTTCCAAAAGCCTTGTTTACTTTTTAATTTGTATGCACAATTAGAGCCAGTTCATTTTATGATGTTCTTCCATAAGGACCGTGTAAGGTCAGAAATTTGAAAATGTTTTTTTTTCTGGCTGCACTGCAAAGATCAAACATTTTAGAAATATTCACTGTCAGTAGCAATTGGAATCAGTTAATGAGAACTATTCATTGCTTACTTACAATGTAGATGCAACAAATTGGAAACATTTTAGAACTTAAAAACTGTGGAAAGTTGTCGGGCATAAATTGTGGCCAATACAATTGAGGAAATATCATCAGACATTGGAAATGGTCCTAAGAATTGTTCTGAAATTTAACTTGATGCTGTTTGTTTTATTTGATCGGATTAGAAGATATGATGTAATTGTGAATGACTGATGTCAGTGTGACCAATGAAGGACAACTGCAAAGTGTCTCTTAAACAGTTATTTCTGGAGTAGACGGTGGGTTTCCATGGCGAT